AACGTCAATTTTACTATAGGTCACGTTAACGTCAATTTGACTATAGGTCACGTTAACGTCAATTTAACTATAGGTCAGGTTAAGGTGTTAAGGTGTCGTGTCTGTATGCGTGTACTGGACACGAGTACTAACATTGAGCGCCTGCTTGGCGACAGTGACGTGCCACCTGAGTCCGGCGAGGTCCGCCGCGTACGCGTACTCCTGCAGCCCGTCCCGCACCAGCAACATCCACATCGACATCAACGCGCTGCTCTCGGGGTCCGCGTACGACACCGGGCTGCAACATCACATTGCTCACAATGCCGTGTTACCTTACCTTATGATAAACATATTCAAATCCATTAAATCGTTTCCGAGATTAACGCACACAAACCTACAGACAAATTGACACGGAAATTCTAAAAAAAGTACCTGAAGAAGTCCACAGTGAGGTACGCTTTAGGTAACTTGAACTCATTGTCTCGTTTGAACCACAACCTCATCAGGGGCGTGTCCTGCAAACAAACACAAAAAAACTTTCCATACATCCCATCATCATCATCATCAGCTCACTATATGTCCCCACTGAGGGGTTCAGAGCCTATCCTAAGTTATGTGACTAGGTCATAGTCAACCACACTGACCAAGTGCGTGTTGACTTCACACATATCTTTGAATTTCTTCTCAGATATGTGCAGCATCACGATGTTTTCCTTCACACTAACAACATAAGATGTAACACATTGCTACATGGCGGGATTCTAACCCAGGACCTGCAGATTGCAAGTCAATTGCTTAAACCACTTAGCCATCGACGCTCTGCTAGATGCATGCTCCATACATGCTTTTTGAAAAACATACACTTTTGTACATATATTTCATCAAAGAAAATGTATAAAATTAAATAAAAAAAGCCTTTACCATACAATACATATTTGTATCCATACATCCATACATGTAGACATACCTTAAGTATGATGGGTGCGATGGAGTCAGTGGTAGAGTCGTGCGATGTCTCCAGCTCGAGGCGGTCAGGCAGAAATTCATTGGGAGGAGGCAAATGCAGCTCCCCACCAGCGCGAGCTTTCTCCCACTCCTGCATCACATCACAACACTTTTATTACTATACATCATTTATATATTACTAGCT